TATCTCTTTAAGTGTCTTTATATTTTGTTTGTATGGTTTGAAATTAAGTTTCATATATGTTTTTTTTTCTTTTAACATTTTGTTGCCATGGAAACCATTCAAACTATTTTTTACTTAAATAGAGGAAAAAGTATCATTTAAAAATTGAAATTAAGGGAATTTTAAGGTACTTTAGAAATAGAGTTTAATCTATTCATACAATCAAGATTTTTACATTGTTGAAGGACAAAGCACCAAATAGTTATAAACTTTTCTGAATTTAATCTATAGTTTGTATCCATAGCAACCATTAAAAAATCGTTAAAATTCTTACTTTCTTAAAATTTTATTTGTGTTTATTACCCGAGACAAACATCAAGTTAACATATCACTGACAAAATATTAGATGTTTTTAAAATGAAAAGAAGGTAGTGTGTGTTTTTTTTATTTAAAATATTTTTTCTTAAAAAAATGTTCATTAAGATAAAAATCCTGATTGCAATACATATGAACGGTCAAACTTCTTGATCTTAATAAGCCAACATTTTCCATTTAATTGTGCATTTCTTACATAAATCTGTTAATCATAAATGAGAATGTGCGATTTTTAAAAATGTATTGTGTCGAAATGAAAACTAAATATTCTGGATATGCTGCACTCCCTTTTTTGGGGAAAAATTCCAGTTTTTCAGAATTAAATCATCCATGGTTAAGGACAATCAACGTCCTTTCCTCCTTTTATAAATACTAGATTTCTCAGAAATATGAAAAATGTAAAGGGTTCAGCATAACCCTTTGTCTTGCTTGAGATTGATGCTGTAAAAGAGTTGTGTTGACTTCGAAAAAAATCTATATATTATGCTTATTAGTGAAAAAAACGATATGCTCAGGATACTATCACTTTCAAGAAGCTTCTATCCAAGCTTGAATAAATTTCCAAAAGTTTGACATAGTTACTCAAATTAAAAAGAAATAATTTAATAACAGACTGTACCTACATGTAAATGTTGAATACAAAAAGAAAAAATTAAGTTCATGTATATCTATCATAATTTTTAATCTAAATGGCTAAGAAGCGTAAAAAAGATTCATGAAACTCAATAATGCATTAAAGCAGATAACTGATGTTTTTAAAAACTTTAATCCTAGATGGTTTGATCTGTTTATAAATATTAACTCCAAAAAAATGTAACTAAATTTTTCAGACGACATGTTTAATATGGGAAAATATGACAATTTTTTCTCGGGGTAATATTCTGCTCTATCACTCTCTCAGTGTATAATTTAATTTATTATACTGAATGTTCTGTAGTTATTGTGCTTTAAATTTTAAATTGAAAGTAATAAAGTATGACGTCATGTATATAACAATCATCCGTATTTTATAAAAAAAAAATTGGAAAAATTGACCAAGCGTCGACATAAAGGATTATAGGGTATACGCCATGGGATAGAGTAGAATATCCCATCATATTAACCAATCAAAATCTGACATTTTAACATGAAGTATGACATAAGTTAACTCCTAAAGACCAAGTTAGTAATTGTTAATGTAAATAGTTAATAAAACATACCAATATCACTTAATTTTATATTTGATTCATTCTGAAGGGGAAAAAAATAGTTTCCCTCCGAAGATCATTGACAAGGGTGGTAAATAATGGTAAATACCAGGAGCAGTATAACCGGTCAACCTTGTTTACGAAGCTGGTTGGTGAATCTTGTCCATTTTATATCTTGAGTACTTTGCAAACACACATTTTACATCTTTTTCCTTTGAAATTGTTATTTTAGGTTCTTTTTCTATATGTGTTTATTTTTCTTTTCTTTCATTTCATTATAGGGTGTTAAGATAACTGATCTTTTCTTTGAAGATTGTCTCGATTGTTAGAGACTATAATATTGATGTGGTCTAGTTGATATAAAAGATGCTTCCCCCCCCCCCCCCTAAAAAAAAAAAAAACAAATTTACAATTACTATGTGGTTTTCATCAATATTTGTGTTTTCAAAAGACCAAGACACATGCCTGAAAGAATTACAATTTTTCATTGCATATGAATTCAATAATTGAAGATTTTATGCTTCCTGTATTGCAAGGTTGACAAATAATAAAAGGATCATTTTCAATTGTATTTCTTCTGATCCATTCCTTTATTATATCTGCAAATGTAGTTACCGTAAGATGTCTTTCGTTTTATCAACACTTAGTACGATTATTCTAATTTAGTTTGAAGTAAACATTTGTACAGATACTTGTGTCAGTTATTAAATTTGAACATAAAAAGCTTTTGAAATCAGCTATTTTGGATGTGTCAGTCATCTATATTTTACGGCATATGGCAAGATTATTCTCTTTCTATACCGAGTTTGTCATTTGGTTTGTTTACAAACGAATTAAATCATTGCTTTTGTACCACAACAACATCATATTTTGACCAAAAATGTCTCTACACTAATGTTTTACCCCTGATTTTAATTTTTGTCAGCAAGTAAATGAATTTACAGTAGTTGTCGTCTGTTTATGTAGTTCATACGTGTTTCTCGTTTCTCGTTTTTATATAGATTAGACCGTTGGTTTTCCGTTTGAATGGTTTTACACTAGTAATTTTTTGGGGCCCTTTGTAGCTTGCTCCATGCAGAACTTAAAAGTCATGATAACTCACCACTGGTAAAACTTTATCAGTCATGCAGACCTAATAAATGGTCATGATGACAGCACCAAAATTCCACCAGAGATGTAGATCAAGGCAAGTATGCCATAACTTTTGATAATTTAAGAGTTCAAAAGTGTTATGCATGATTTTTATAAAGATCATGAGGACTTTTTAAAAACAAAGGTCTATATACTTGCATGATTATGATAAATTGACAGGATATAACAAGAATACATGCTTTGTTGTATTTTAAAAGCATACCCTCACTCGTAATTCAAAATATTGGAAAACAGGAAATAGGTGTCTGTCAGATTCCAAATGGGCACAGACATTACAACTCATCTCTGTAGAGCTTCCGGCCAAATATGAAGTAATTTTGTTCTGTAGTTTCTGAGAAAATGTGAGAAGAAAATAAGGTAAAGTTCATTCAACATATTGAAAAATCCAAAGAGTTGGCAAACAGTTATCTGACATATCTGAAAAGTACCCACATTTCACAACTTATCTCTGTCAAGATGGTCAATATGAAGTCATTTTGTTGAGTAGTTTCTGAGAAAAAAGTGACCAAAATATTTGTTGGACAAGCAGACAGGTGGAAAGACAAGGTGATTGCAATATAGCCCCACTTCTAGAATGGGAGTATAATTTCCTCCATTGTAACTTAAGTGTCTAAATCTTAAAACTGTTAATTGATAACAGAAACATTAGAGTAATTATGTTAATCAACCTATGACTCTTTTCACAAACTTTCTTAAATTGATCGTAAGTTAACCTGAAATAATTTTTTGTGAAAAGAGTCGCTGAACCTTAAAATAGAAATAAATCAGAATAATAAAAAGAAAGATTTCACATGATGAAATGTCTTGCTACTTTACCAATTATGATTGAAATTTGCATTAAATGTTTATGGTCTTACTGTAAATATCCCATAAACTTAACATTATCAATGAAGCATGAAAATGAAGTCAAGATATGATGAATTCTATCAGACATATTACTTGATTTATTTCACTTGACTTGGCGGGGTTTAACCGGTTCACTTATCATAGACCAGTCCAGCTATAGATAGGTGTTTTGGGATAAACTCATCAATGAAGTGTCTAGTTATGGTCATTGATCCGATTAAAAAATGTAAACATTATATGTGTAATCTGCCATGATTCTTAATACAGAATGATTTACCAGAACAAGCAGATGTACTAACATTCATGTGTAAACAGAGAATTTCTTTTTTAAAGCTTGTGTTATGATCATAAGGAAGGAGAAATATAGAGTGTATTTTTTTTAAATTTTTATATATTTTTTTTAAGCATGTTGAATATTAATCTCACAGTTAGAAATCTTTAAACAGAATAATACAATAGCCGATACTTTAAAATACTTAGCTATAGTACATATAAATACTTTTTATTTTTATATTATTCTATTCGTCCCATATCATACACTCATTCTGTTGTAAGTTTGTTTGGTGACACTGATAGGTGATTAGAAATCAATAATAATTATAACAGCAATCATCCTTATCACACACATCTTCAAATAGACTGTCCGTATGCAAATTAAAAATAAGCTCGCCCGATCAGTTGAAATAAAACTGGTAATACGTGTACAACTTACAATCATTCTATACACCATTTACAATTTAATCATTACTTATATTATCCAAGAAAAGGACCTATTGACAAAAATTAATATTGACCAATGACCACAAAATGACAAGGTCAGATGAACCTTCTAAGAAGGACATGCATAACTAACAAACATTCTGTACATCTAATACAGTTGATCTGTTACTTATACTATCTGAGAAACAGACCTAACGTGAAAACTTAATGTTGACAAATTAACCATGAAAATGAGGTTAAAATCAGAACAACCCTGTAAGAGGAATATGTTCACTTTATTACTTACTTTACCAAGAAAACGTATTGTTGAATAACTGAACCATGAAATGAGGCCAGGAACAAGTGACAGACATTTTTGCTTTACAATTATTCCATAAACCATTAAAGAATTGTTATATCATTCATAATGACAATCAAATTGATAAAAAATATACAGTTTTTTTAAGAGGTCATCGAACAATGAAAATGTAGTCATGAGTAATGGTCATATGCCAGGCCTATACTTCAGACCATAAGACATCTGTAAACCAACTATGGATTATCCTGCTCTTCTACCTTCTGACATATTTATTATATTAAATGCTAACATGTTTGAGCCACCACCATTTCCACTGGATTAGCATTCTAATATCTTGAATTCTTGAAAGAAGAAGCACAGACAAAAAATATAATGTCATACATCGTGTACAATGACATAAATCAGACTATCACATTTGAAAATAATAAAATAAACAAAATGCATAAATACAAACATTTTAATAGTATAGAAAAACCATTTAATGTAAATAAACAATTATATCACAGTCAAACATATAAATGCTACTTTAACAAAGGATATTAAAACTATTTCTTTAATTAAATCATATGTTATAAAGAGATTTGAATAAAAAATTATTAGAAATTATGTAAAATATTTGAAAGAAATTTATATTACAATAGTAAATATATATATAAATATATATTCTTAGCTTGTCAGTGTGCCTTTTAATGTAATTAAATCTATAATATCTATCAGTCAGAATCCATTATTATATTTATTCTCCCAAGATTTTCTAGCTATAGTTGGTATATGAAGCCATAACTACTTTAGTCTCTATCAGTTAGAATCCTTTTGTGGGTCCACTGTAGCCTCTCATTGGTTTAACACTGTGGAATGTCCACTGGTCCGTCAGACCAAATTCCCGTAAATTATTGACATTTTCAGTTTGTAGCATTGTTGCTTTCTTTTCCCATTTATCTTTCTCTTCTTCTAACTTGTCTATCAGTTTATTTAAAGCATCCTGTAATAAAAGTGATAAGCAATAAAAAATATGAGAAGCATGAAATTTGTATTTGTTTTTGAGTGTTAACATGTCCAACTAGTTTACAGTAAACATACTGTGTATATGTAAAATTAGTCGTGCCTTGTTCAACTTTGTCTTTTTTAAGGTGGAAAGACAATAACATTGAAAGATATGTAAATTTACACAAATGAAATACAGGGTTCAAAATAAAACAACTTTATATATATTATATAGGGGAAAATTATTTTTTTGTGTGCATAGAACTTTTAGAATTTAATGATAATGACAGGTCTTTGATAGTTTCTGTTTAATTCATTCTTAACTTTATTTGACGAATTAGAGCTTAACATATTGAATAGACACCTCCATGTTTACTGTTGAAGACTGTATAACTCATTGACACATACCCAACATGTCCTTTAATTCATATCTAACTCATTACTGACTTTGAACACTGTGTAATATGTGTCATCACTGTCATGTGTCAGAGAAAAATAGAATATTCTTAACCTTTCTGATCAGCTGATATTACTTGAAGGGATTTGTATCGCTGTTTCTTTTTGTATGTAAAGCATCTATCATGTTTAGTTTTTTTTATTTTTGTGTTGTTTTTTTTTGTGTTTTGCCTGGTTCCAGGGTCCACTCTTTAAGCAAAAAAAATGTTCCAGTATTGCAGGTCATTGAACAATATCCAAGGATGGTATAAGATAACATAGATGAACACAACATCAGTTACTTTTAACTTTAGACATAGTATATCATTCCTTACTAATAATGAATAGTAATTATAATACTCTGGTAATTTTTTACCTGTCTTAATTGCCAGTAATATTCAATGTATATAATAAAAGAATTATACACTTTGGAAGTTTATTATGTCTTAGTTTGCTCTGCTTAATATCAATCTATTATGTAATCAGTGATCTCCCCGTGACGTTTTAGCGTCGCGGAAATGCGACGCTTTAATTTTTCCCGTGACTCTATAATAATTTCCACGACGCTATAATAATTCAGGGATGCTATTTTTTCTTGTCTCTATTGATCTCTATACATTGCCGCAATATCGATGTCACAAAAATTATATCATCTTTAATTGTAATCCCTTCAAGTCGGACAAAAGAGGCAATTTAGATTGATTAAATAGGTGTTAAAAGCCCTTTATGTGATAACTGTTTGGATACGAATACGCGAAGCTGACACTTATGACATGACTTAATAATAACATGTGGTCTAATCGCAAATTTTGACATCGAGAAAATGGAATCAGAAAATCATAAACAATTTGAAATCTACATTTGCATCATGGCAAAAACGTCTCCTAAATGAAGAAAAAACTATGAGGGGAACCTTGTTGTTGACAAAATAGTTGATCAAACCCTCGAGTTGTACAATTACACATTTTTTTTCATGTTGATTAAACAGCAATTTTTCATTTATAAGTCAAGAAATTCAAAGATATAAACGATTTATTTCTATAGAAAAGAGGTGAAAACATTGACTTTACAGATTGGTCATTTGTTATTTCAAACTAAACAACTTTTAAATTAGTATTTTCTTTCCATTTCGGTACTTGTTACTTGAGAGCGTACATGAAACATTTTGATTTTGGGCAAAATAAGTTTTATACTTCATTAGAACATGATGAAAATTGCCTTTAGTTAATGTTTCATCAATTTATTACATTAAAATCGTGACATTCATTCCAATTCGCTTGTCAAACATTGTTTATTTTCGTCAATTTTTCTTCGACCGCCATTGATATATTTGTACAAACTACGGATCGGATGCAGGATTCATCGGAAGCGGACCATCTATGACCAAAATCAGCATTTTTACAATAATAACTACAGACGCACAAATAGCACAGCTGACAGAATAATAAAGATTCCAAAAGGGAAAACTAAGCATTCCACACACATTTACAGACTATTTGTTAGATCTCCTTGCTAAATGTATTTATTTCTATGTAAATGCATTGTTTCAATTTACCGATCAAAGTAGCTTTACTTTGTTAAAAACATCTGAGACTACTATAACACATTATGTTATAGTAGTCTCAGAAAACATATATCTTTTTGATAAGAAACAACTGGGACTAATAAATTGAGTCCCAGGAAACAATGAATTTCATAAACATGATAAACAGAATAGTTTTTAATTGAAATGTTATTACTATATGATACTTTCTTTTCCTTTTTGATATAAAAAAGTTCTCTTTTGTACTAGATATTTAGTTGGTAGTTTCTGACAAGAAGAAAAATATAATTCTGTAACTATGAATGAATATTGAAGGCATAAACTGAAACAACTTTTATACTTTAATTGTATTCTCAATTATGAATTGAACAAAATCAGCATTACTTAAAAGAAAAAGAGCATCGTTGCGACGCGACAAATGACATTGAAAAAAAATACAATTTATTTTTTTTACTCCAAATGTGATGCTATCCAAAATTTCTGGGGAGAACACTGGTAATGCCTTACATCAAGTATTCTTTTATAATCCTTTTCCATTTTGCGTATTTCTTTGTTCAATTCATCAATTTTTTCATCTTTGTCTTTTATTATCTGGTCTCTTTCTTCTTCTGTTTCTTTAAGTTTCTGTTCTGTATCTCCTGAAAATTAAATTATACATAATCATGCATTATCTAACAATATTTAAATTTAAGATCAACTACTAAAAGGTTATGTGAGCTCTTGAAACATCACCAGGCGCTGTTAATTATGTGTTTTGGCATATACTATATTTTTATGCTTTCACATTTTTCCCCGCTGATACACATTATTAATATGGCTTCTACTAACGAAAGCTCCATTTGGAGCTAATGTGTTTAGAGACCTCTTTTGTCAGTACACCATTACTATATTACTTATGTGAGCTCTTGCTTACATTTTAAAAAGGTAGTCATTCAACTGTCTTTAACTAGTCAAAAAAAAAAACCCACAAATGTACCAAATCTTTTGTAATTCATAACAAGGGGGGTTTATTTCAAAATTATGACAATTGACCCACTAAACAACAAACATATCTGATAAACAGGAAATGCCTGTTACTTTTATCTATAGTTATTTTGCTAATAAAAACAAAATTTCTTGGACAGATCCTCACAAAATATTCTAAAACCATTCTAAATCTGTCATTAGACTAATATAATTACAACTAGTCAGTGGTTGTCGTTTGTTGCTGTGTATCATATTTGTTTTTCGTATATTATTTTGTACATAAATCAGGCCATTAGTTTTCACGTTTGAATTGTATATATTTGTCATTTTGTGGCCTTTCATAACTGATTATGCGGTATGGGTTTTGGTGATTGTTGAAGGTCATATGGTGACCTATAGATGTTAACTTCTGTTGCATTTGGTGTCTAGTGGAGAGTTGTCTCATTGCCAATCAAACCACATTTTATTTTTATAAGAATGAATCTTTACATAAAATCTTTTATTCTTCCAAGTTGCAGAACATAATTTTACACCTAGCCTTATCCTCATTAGAGAGTACACTCAAGCATATATTTAAGCCCCAGCCAATCTTAGAGTGTCTTATTTCAAAAATATATTTGATTTGGAAGATTGGCTATGAAGATCTAAGTTTTACATTGCTGGTTCTAAGATTGTGTCTCTAGTTTTTATGGACATGAGTTTTATCATCAGAACAGGGTTTCTAAATTTTGTTAAGCCAAATCAAAACTTTGAGTTTAAATATATCTCCATTTTTTGTACTATGAGAGTTTACATGGGCATTCACACAGGGTCTATATGAAAATGAAGAGAGGTGTGGACTGATGCTTTGTATGTTTTGCACTCTTTGGATCTGACCAGCACATATACAAGTATCAGATTGATAGTGTTCTGTTTAAAAAGCTAATGGTGAAATGAAATCTGTAAATCATTGAGATACTTCTCCACAAGGAAGTTAGTTATTCAAACCAGGGTAAAAGATATTCATCTGCAAAATTTTCAATGGAATTATATGGTTTGATATTTTAACAGATGAAGCATAATTTCAATAAATATTGCTTCACATTTGTGTGTGTTGCATCTGCCTTTTTTCTAATTTCTATTCATCTGATTTCAATTTAACTGGTGCTCTGTAAAGTGTGTACTATATTTCTAATTTATTTGTTGACTTAATCTTCAGCCCTGGTTATAATATTCTTACTTAGATCTTCCTTTACTCAAAACACTTTACTGCCTAACTAAGAACATTGTCTCTTCACATCTGGTAAAGTTTTAATGTGAGACCAGTCTACACTTATTGAGTGTTTTCTGTGCTATCTGATAGTCTCTTTCCATTTGATGAAGTTTTAACTGGAGCACTGTCTATACTTACTAAGAGCTTTCTGTGTTATCTGATAGTCTCTTTCCATCTGATGAAGTTTTAACTGGAGCCCTGTCTATACTTACTGAGAGCTTTCTGTGTTATCTGACACTCTCTTTCCATCTGATGAAGTTTTAACTGGAGCCCTGTCTATACTTACAAGAGCTTTCTGTGTTATCTGACAGTCTCATTCCATCTGATGAAGTTTTAACTGGTACCCTGTCTATACTTACTGAGAGCTTTCCGTGTTATCTGATAGTCTCTTTCCATCTGATGAAGTTTTAACTGGAGCCCTGTCTATACTTACTAAGAGCTTTCTGTGTTATCTGACAGTCTCATTCCATCTGATGAAGTTTCAACTGGTACCCTGTCTATACTTACTGAGAGCTTTCTGTGTTATCTGATAGTCTCTTTCCATCTGATGAAGTTTTAACTGGAGCCCTGTCTATACTTACTAAGAGCTTTCTGTGTTATCTGACAGTCTCATTCCATCTGATGAAGTTTTAACTGGTACCCTGTCTATACTTACTGAGAGCTTTCTGTGTTATCTGATAGTCTCTTTCCATCTGATGAAGTTTTAACTGGAGCCCTGTCATCATGTACTTGTACTGTCTTGTCATGTCTTAAAAATGAAAGATTTTTATAACTTCCACAACCTACATAGATATTGTTAAATGAAAATAACACTTTATAAATTTGAAACATCTGAAGCGTTTTTCTAAATTTACATTCAGCAGCATGATCAGGAACACTCAAACCCCAAAAAATTTAAAACTCAGGATGTATAAATTAAGAAATAATTCATGGCAGCCGTAGATTTGTTTTCATTTAACCATATATAGGTTGGGCATTTATATTCGATTATTTTACCCTGAGCGTTAGTGAGGGGTAAAATACGAATATAAATGATCAACCCATGGTTAAATGAAAACAAATCTACGGCTGCCAGGAATTATTTCGATTCTAATAGGACAAATTCGGTAATTTTGTTAACCGTGAAAGCCCTGTACATACGATATTGTTTTGGCTGTTCCGTTTTACCCAATTTTGATAATATTAGTAATATTATATAATTCAATGATTATTTATTTTTAATCGCATTTTTTACTTATATATTTTCTTCTAACGTAATTTTATTCGTTCTGAGGCGTACAAGAAGCTTTAAACGACCGGTATTTACATTTGATTTTTTGTTTACGAAAACATACTTGTGACGTCACCTTGTTCGTTGCCATGCCAAGACAATAACATCATTTCGCGGAATTTTCTTTTTATGAAATTTTACCATGAAAAATAAATTGAAAGGACTGATTTGTTTATTTTGCTGTAGAATAGAGATAAATATATTGTATATGAATCTTGGCCTACGTAAACTTGGGGTTTTGATGTAGAAAATTGAGAATATCTGGTAGTATAAATAAGTTGGTCTTAACGCGGAACAGCCGTTTTTGTGTATTACTGCGTTTGCGCTAAAGGTAGATATATTGTGATTATACTGGTTGACGATAATAGGACGTCATATTAGAATACCTGAATAAGTGAGGAGTTATTATATCACCAAAAGGGACATAATAAGAATAGCCAATTCAACTACATGTAAGGGTTAATTTTTTCAGAGTAACCAATTCATCTACAGTCAACTTTTACAGGGTAAATAAACTTGTTTGGTTGTTTATGTTGAATTGATTTATTACTTGCAGAGACTTGGATTAACGAATAGTTTGCTAAAATGTTTAGTATTGGCTGTTTTGATGTTTTTACATGTCAATATTTGATAGCAGTCTGTAGCTGTGTTGATGTGCAATGATGTTTATTATATATTATGTTTATTAACAATATATCTATCTACCCATATTTAAATATTTACTAAAATGCAGGACATTAACAAACGGAATACATTTAATTTTGATATCAAGTCATAACATAAAATGGAGTAGTTGAATCAGGTTAAAAATTTAATTAAATATTTACCAGCAGTAATGTCTTTTTGATCATTTTTGTGTTTCTCTAATTCCATCATGGTTTCATTCATCTTTGCTTTCATAGCATCGCCATCCCCTTGTCCACGACGAGCTAATTCTTTCCTTACAGCTGAAAAATAATCAAAACATATCCTTAAAGGATTGAAATAAAAAAATATATATTGACTTTCACAATATTGTTTATTTATTTTCAGGAAATTTAGATATAATCTAACACTAATACATATGCATAATCATGCCATTGATAAAGTTATTACTATATGGTCATAATGTAGAAAAGAGTCATCTCCCTTACACCAGAGCATTTTGTATACAAACTGGCATACTTGAGGCAGAAACCCAGTTGAAATTAAACAAAAGAAATGGAACTCTTTGTTAGAGAAGGTAAAAAAAAGGCCAAGTTGGTAAATTGGAATTGTTTACATCTGTTTCTATGGGCTTTAAAAGTTTAATTATGTGCCTTATTTAGGATTTTATGCATATCATGTATGTTTTTTACCTAAATTATGGTATAGAGCTTCGAGATATTTGTAAACTTTTAAATTATAGACAAATTTTCACAAAACAGTCGATTGTGGTAGGTGCAAATACAGATGGATCTTTTTTGTGCTTAAGTATAAATTCCGCTGAAAAAAATCCAAAGAAAGATAATAGATTTATCTTTTTAAAGCATTAATTTGCATCTCTGTCCCTGGTGACAGTTTTTTGGAAAAAAATCCAAAAAATGGGCAATAATTTCATCAAAAAGAGAAAGTCAAGTACACCTTTTTATGTTTAGGCGTGTTTGAGTTGACTATTCTGTCTTGAAAACGTATAAAAGAAAAATATTTCATACATCAACTCGCTTCAGATTCTATCATTTTTATATATTAAGGCTCTAGGTTGATATAATAACATTAAAATTTACAGTACTAAAAAATGTAATATATGGGTTAAGTGAAATACCTAACAGCATAATAGGTGTGTTCGAATAACAAATTTTTACTAAAAGTACTTGACGACAGACTTTTCAAGTGGATCTTAAAAATGCATATCTTCAAAAAAACTTCATCTTTTGTGTGTGTTATCTAGGATAATTAGTCTTCAACCTCTGAAAATTTTTAGTCTGCCCTTCCAGGAAATATTTAATTAGAAATTTTTTTAAATATTTTTGAACTTCGAAATTCCCCCTGACAACCGATCAGATAATAATTTTAGGTTGACCAAATGCATAAAAGTAAATTAAATGATGCTAAATAGCTAGTAGATACATTTGTCTTAAAATACAACTGGCATATAAGGATCGTAATGATGCGATGTGGATAAATTTATCGGTTTTCAAGAGCTAAATTGAAAGCGTGTCATCACTACAATGGCTTCCATTTATACGATTATAAAAATTAGGTGGCATAATGGGGAGATAATTTTGACGAAGTAGAATCCTAACTGATTTCAGATGCATTGCTGACCATGCATATTATTTAAGAAAATATTATACTCGAAACATAAAATTTGATGTATACTAACATGACAAAAGAATTCTTTGACAAATTTCAGACTAAATAATTATCTAGTCAATGAAGACTCTAAATTTGATCTTACATCTCATTGCACTTAAAATATTAATGATTTTTTTTAATTCAAAAGAGTTAATTATTTTTGCTTTTGAAAAGAAATGAACAATTATAAAATGCAAGTAGCTGTTTTCTGAAACAATTTTTCTCTGAATGGAATCAATTCATATACAGTCCGTGTAACGTAAAAGTTAACAATACGAACGATGCCCGAACCATGTACGGACGATGCCCGAACGATGTACGTACGCTTCCCGAACGGTGTACGAATGCAAACGAAACGCTGACCGAACGTTGTACGGACGCTGAACGAACGATGTACGAACGAAACCATGTACCATAAACCATACCATTAACGATAACATAAGCGCCCTTGTATCGTTAATCGTATGGTTTTGCGTACATCGTTTCATTTAGCGTATACCGTATCGTTTAGCGTACATCGTTTCGTGTAGCGTATATCGTATCGTTAAGCGTACATCGTTTCTTGGAGTGCATAGTTTCGTTTTTTAATATAAAACATGAATTGTGTTCTGTTAAATCTTTTTATATAGGTGATAATATGCGTAAAATTTAGATTGGATGCATGTTTTAGTTTTTAATTAATAATTTAATAAATTATAATTTAATGTTGATCCAACATTATTTACATAAAAAGTTTGAAAAATAAACACTGAACTAAATTTAAACAAATTAAAAGATACAATTATGATTTTTTTTTTTAGCCGTAGAAATACGGACTTGGTGAATGTGCGAGTAAACTACTGTCTGCTGAGTATTAAACGATTTTTTTTAGATTATAGATTTTTTTTATTCATTTTCAAATCAGACGAAAAAAAAAACAAATATTCGAGAAATTTCAAATAAAAACAATTACTCATTATGTGCCTTATCAACCTCAAACCTAAATCCCTACCAATGTACAAACGATTGTGTATTATTTTACCTATAAATGCACTTGACTTTAAACAATCATCAACGATTGTCCGGCAAAAAACTAGACCATTTCCCTCTATTCTTTAATTTTCTTAAACCATTTTCCTCTGTTCTTTATTTTGCCTGTTATACTCTATTCTAATTTTATAAAATGTTTTTCTTTATTTTCCTGTATCTATACCTCCTTTATTCAGAGCAACCCACCCTAAATATACATATGATACACACGGTCTATAGGTCATCGCTTGTACCGTGATACACATGTTTGCATAAAAAAGGATACCTTGACCTTGTTCATATTTATAACATTGTAAATGTCCTCCTAATGATACATCTAATAGTAACCACTGGACATAAAACAGCTAACTATAAATTCATCCGTCATATTCTTAGTTTTGTTATAATGTGAAAATCAAACAACATGATGAAACAATAATTATTGCAGATTTTCACTACGGAAATCATGGGAAATAATTGTAGACAAAACCAACCAATCACATCCCTACACCACAAATTAAAGTCTAGCCTTTTCGCATAAAAATACATTATTTTCATAAATCTATTTCTAAATAATTTTAAACAATTTTTGAATCGAACAGTCATTTTTCTTATTTGCCATAAAAAAAAACAAAAAACAAACAATTATTTTCATTTCTCATTTTAAACAGATCGATGGTTTTTCAATGGTCGGTGCCTGTCAGCATTTATAAAATCTAACACCGTGTTTGCCAGAAAGAAAGCTACATAGAACAGGAAAACAACAATGTCTTAGAAATACTTCCAGGCCCTATTTTCTAATTTCTGTTGTAATGTGGTGTAATGCAAAAAGGGTAACTCCTGAATACTGATTTGTACCCCTTAAGCATTTGTGGTTAATAACAAATCTATGGTAGTCTCTTTTTTTTACTCGCAAAGTATTCTACTAAATCATGTTTTATTTATGAAAATTGCTCATGGCTGACGAATGTTAAACATTGATCCCTAGATTTTCAATTGTTTAGTTGTTAGGTTACTGTCTGATCTCGCAAACCTGACATTTTATGGTCATTATTTTTTGCATCAAATTGCACCAATGTTTTAAAAAGATATAAACGCGACACCGTACGAGAGTCGTTATTTTACATAAACTATTAGTATTTTTTTCTATAACGAAATACGAAACCACTTCTCGCAATTCGCTTTGGGGTTATTGTGCTTGTCTTTTGACAAATTATGCATGGCCTTGTCTCAAAAACAAAAAAGTATAATATAATATTGAGTAATATATAAAACTGGACCAGAGTAAAGAGTTGGGAAGTACGAATTCCGAATTTTGATTGAATGTTCTACATCTTAGTGTATTTCTGATATATGATTGTACAGACTCAAAAATGTCTTTGTTTTGGTGAAATGAAAGGTCACCGTCACCAGCCACTAATAAAAGCAAAATGGATATAGTAGATCTTTCTAATTTTGAAATCAATATTTCTCTTGCTTCGTTGATAAAAGGGCACTTAAAATATAGTGAATACTATTCTCCACAGCTGCATGCGGGATTGGGTTTAATATTAATAAGGTTTAAATCTGCATTTGAATAATTGCACCATATTTCTCAACTGTGTATCAATGACATTAAGATTTCTATCACCACAACTAAAATAGGAAGTGCGTACTGTGAATAAATACTCAGTTTACTATTATTTACAGCAATTTATCACATATAATACCACGTTAACAATACGGTAGACGGTGTTTGACAGTCTGAAGGAGACCGCATCAAGGATTTAATAAGGCAAAGCCTTTGTTGTACTCAATCTTACTAAAGTTTTCTTTATTATATTTAATAGATATATATCCGAGATACGATAATGTAGTTTTCTTTTTTATAACACATCTGATCATCTATGATGGGATAATGTCTAATGAGAGAATTTAACCAGAAACTGAACAACGTAGAAGTGACCAATCAAAGGTCACTGTACGGCCTTCAACAATGAGCATAGTAAGATATTAAAGGCTCCGAAATGACAAATGTAAAATACACTCAACACTGTTCAAACATCACCGCACGTCAAACTTTGAACAACTGAAAAACCTGATTAGACATTCGTGACAATTTGGCACGCCCTCATGAATTGGCGAAAGACCTATTATTATTAGTTATAACTTATAAGTTACTAGTTTCCTGTCTATTCTGTCATTTATTGCATTTGATTTGTAATTTGTCCTCATGTAACACATATTTGTGTTTGAGTGTAAATAAAGAATTGAAAAATGTATTTTGCGTTAAATGTGCAATGAAACCACGGATTCGTTATCTTCAAAAATAGTTCTGAAACGGTTGATAAAATGTGGAATGTCTGAATAGAAATATAACAATTATGTCCACTGCGCGATTATAAAACGGGCTGTATTTTGACATTTTGAGATACTATAAGTAATTGTTTTCTGTGATAGAATTTTAGAGGTCAATACGACTTTTAATCAGTTGGATTTTCAATTTTAATAAAAAAAATGTGTTTGGTTTTCTTCTTTTCTTTAAATTCATATCATGATTCTTTAGTTTGGACGTATTTTATTGTTCCAAAATGACAAATGGATTAGACACAAGTTTTTCAACTTAGTAACGTCTTCTCCAATA